TTATTTTTTTTTTTTTTTTTTCATACCACTACCTTTCATCGAAATTCTCGCCGGGGAGCATAGACAAGTATTTACACGTGTCAACTGTACAAAGTTTCCACACGCTCATCGTTTACAGCTAGCGAAAAAACCCGTGCGCATTATTCGAGGCAAATGACGTTTAAAAAAACGAGGAAAAGAAAACAGAACGAAAAAGAAGAAAGAAAAAGATAAAGGAAGAAGGAGGAGGACTATAGATGGATCGATAACACGAGATGAGGCAAGTGCACACGCACACGTTTCGATTTAACGATCATATTCCTCGGAGAAAAAAAAACTCGTGTTCCTCTTTTCCTCGTCTCTCCTTTCCTCCCTCCCTCCCTTCTCCCTTTATTCTTTCGACTCCATTGTGTACACACGCGAGGAGACAAAGGAACGACGATTTTCACGACTAGAGTGCCCTCTGCGTCGCGGCTCTTTCGGTTGTTTCGACATCGTGGACTTGGCGTTGCTTATTTTAACCAACGACAGTCAAATGCAATTACATCGGGTCCTATGCCCTTGCCGGAAGCGCCCACATAAACGAGCTCTCGTATCCGCTCGGCTCTCGACCGTAAGGCAGCGAGCCGCATACCTGACGCATGACGCCAGATTTTTAAGACGTGGCCGTATCAACCACGGCAATAACTTCCAACCGGTCAGCGGAATCGTACAATGTAACCTGACAATTAACCCATTTACATTTGTAATAAATTACGTGGTGTAGCGGTGACCTAATGTCTTACGTAATGGGAGTCATAGGATAAATAGTCCATTTAAATAACATTGAATTATTGTTTTTATAAGACCAAGATTTTTCCAGACTCCCTTATATATTCTATATATATATATACAAAATATAAGTTAAATAATTAAATAAACAAGATTAATTGACATTTCGCGATAAACAATCTATGTTATTTATGTTTTGTGAAATTATTTTGATTGAAGTGAGTTCCTAAGATTTAAATCTACTATTGCATCTTCTCAGACATAATAATAGTAATAATAATAATAATATAGAAAAGATAAATAAAAAAACTCGTCTCGATAAGGTTACACATTTTTCACATTTCACCATAATGCAAGTAGGTTAACTCGAATTTCACGCTCCGTCAGCTCGTCGATAGCATTGTGCTCGGCACTGGCCTCGGTTATCATGGCGGACTTAGTTTTCGTTCGCCGTGAGCGCAAACCACGGTTTCTTAGAAGGATTCTTTTTAGTAGCCTCGGGAGAATGTTGGATACAATTGATCAACTCGATGCTAAAATAAGCAACGCGTTTGTTATTCGCTCTGGCTGTGGTTTAAATAGAAGGAATGAATGACGCGAGTATGAAACCGGAGCATATGCGCGACCAGTTTGCCACGGTTGATTGAATGGCGCGGATACGGGCCATGAAAGGGATTCTAGAATTAAAATTCTGGTAATACGTTTATCCGAATGGACATGATAATATGATTGCAGTAACGATTGATCTGTGTAGTATAATAATGAAGAGAAAGGAGGATCATTGTTATGCTTATTAGTGAGATATTAGCGTCGAGGATGGATTAATTTGAGGTTAGGGTTCGTGATTTATTAGCGGACAAGCGGATTGTATTTAGAAATTAAGTGTTTGAAGGATTTTGCTCGAGGATTATAGATTGTTAGATTTAGAAATGAAGATATCATGGTAGAAATGTGAAGAAATAGTAGATGTAATAAATAATATATTTTGAAATATATTTTATTTAAGCAAATGAAATTTTAATTTTAAACATCTTCATTCTTTTTTTTTTTTAAAGTATTGAATATAATGTAAATGTTTTTATTATATTAAAAGTCTCGATTTCATTGGTTTATTGAATTGGCAATCGAATTTTAATTAATAAGTTTAACAATTGAATTTATTGGTTTTTTTTTATCATTAAAGAAATATACAAATATTTAAATAAATCGTGTGAAATATAATTTCGAAAAAATCGAAAAAATCGAAGTTCCATTCAGTAGTCTAAATTTTTTTGTTCTTGAAGAAAAAAAAGACAATTTCCATTTTAATATACAAAAATTATCATCCATGTTCACTATGTATAACTTTACGATATTTATTTAAGTTCACAGAATTATACAGCTGTTGTCTTCACGCGACTGTCTTTTTAATTTATGAAATTCGCTTGACTGGTGAAAGTAATATGGCGGAAGTAATTTCACGCTAGTATTTTACGATTCCTTTTTCACGTCCGTCTACTTTTTAGCTTCCCGTTATTATCTTTATTTTTTGTCTTCCGATTTGTCAACAAGATTATTTTCTACTCTTTTAGTTTTCTTAAAAATCAACAATCAAATTTTTTTTTAAAATATTAACACGTTCTTTGAATAGAAATAGAAATATAATTGAAATAAAAATTTGAATTTCAATATTAGATTTAATTATATCTTACTTTTAAATTTATATATTGTATTACATCTTCTAGAAGACGTTAAAGTATCGAGTTACTAAAAAAATCTTTTGAACAAACAAAGATGATCTAATCCTTGAAAGCACAAAGTAATAAAAGAAGAAGGTAAAAAGAAAAGAGAACAACAGGAACAGATTAAACGAGCAGCATTAGAATAGCGTGAAATCATATTGCGCCGAAGCGGATGTTAAGCAGCGCGAGCCATTTAAATGCAAATCTTTCGCAAAAATAGTTGTACACAGTGTTGTTCCAAGTTTTAATGACCAAACTTTGCTATCGTCAATAGTAGCATAATACTTTTAGCGTTAAATTTAGATATTTAGTGATTGCGACTTTCACATTTCGTTATTTTTCGCCATAAATTTTTAATACAATTTTAAACGACTTAAATATTCACGTAACATTTTTTTCTCTTCTCGCGTAGATCAGAAGAAAACTGGAAAACAGGTATTGTTTGCAAAAATTGTAAAATTAAATTCGGTAACGCCTTGTACACGTCGGTGTGCGAAGCGTTTGAATTATTCCTCGGCCTCTTGAATGTTCACAGCCACGTTTATGTCAGTCTCTCAGTTTTGCGTCGCGGCAAACACGCGTGAATCACTAGCGTATTACGCAATGTTACGAGCGGAACCGTCAAAACGGTGATGCGTATAAAGCAACGTGTGTTTCATATCCCTCTCCCTGTGCTCGTCCGCCTGAGAAAAATCGATTCTATTCAACTCGATTCTTTCGCCAACTTCCGTCACNTATTGATTTTTTGTAAAATTTTTAATATTTTTGATAAATTAATATTTAATTTATAAATCCATAATGATGAGTGTTTTAGTGATATAATTGTTCGAAATGGCTATCATTTTTATTTATCGCGGTCAGTGAGAAGCGAGATTTCTAAAACTCGCGATCGTGCTGCCAAATAGCTTATGCGTTATGTTTATTTGAACGGTTATGGCTTGTTTCGACTATGGAATCGTTTTTGGAACTTTGACAAACATTTCTTTTTCCAGATATCTGCATGCAAGAAAGATTTAAGCCAGACAAAATCTGTGGCCAATCCATGCCCCCATCAAATTTATGAATAATATTTTATAAAGAAATATTTCGAGATAAACTCGAATAAATTTCGAACAATTCATCATAAATTTTTCGTTAACGCTTCATTTACGTTAGAATTGCATCCATTAGCATAATAATCGTTATTATCTCATTCTTTATACAAATTATTTCATTTACATCTATGTTGATATTCATTTAAGTTTAATCTAATATGATCATTTATAATTAATTACATTTATGCTATTAATTATATTCGTAAAAAAAAAAAATAATAATAAATAAATAAAAAAATCAGCAGAAAAAGTATTTAAGAAGTTCTGACTCATATATTGTTATATGAACGTACATATACGTACGTAATGTGAGATAATTCTTGTTACAAGATTATGCCACGAGATGGCATATTATGGCTCTCCTGCATACCGACTCTCTTTCACAATGCATATACAAGCCCGGTATTCATCGTTACGGTTTTTTCCCTTCTTTTGTGTCACTCGCCATGAATTCCAATGACAGGCTCGTCAAGGACACGTAGCGACAGCATTGCACTCCACCAACGACAACTTAAAATGTCCCTCTTGCCAGCCACTTAAATAATAGCTTAAGTAACACCGTTGTCGCGTTCTAAAAACGTCTTCTCTCTCTCTCTCTCTCTCTTTTTCTCTCTGTCGATCGGTCGAGTTTATACGAACGAAGAGGAAACAAATACGTTGCTTACGCATGAAGAGATCGATTCTTCGATTTGTTTCGATCGTAGCGTTCCGGGAAATCGATTATTCGTTCGGTTTGAAAGCGTTTCGATGTTTAGTCGATCCGGTAGCGTGGTTTAAGGTGATTTATTTGGAATATACATATAGTTTGTTTGAAGAAAACATTAAAGGCAAGGGATTGAGATCCTTGAAGTATTATTTTTGCATTTGGACAAATTCATTTTGTATAACAAATATTTTTATTTCATTATTCATTGATATATATATATATTATACATTTTACATATGTCGAAATGAGAATTAGTTAGTTCATAGTACGATTATGTTTGTCATTCTCGTTGTGTATTGACTTTGGTCATGACGTACAAGCAGCGAGCAAATATGTTAATAGATACTTTCAAGTGTTTCTTACAATTTAACTCAAATTATCTATCTGTTTGTACACTTCGAATACATCTTTATATAACGTTAAGTAGTTATTTATTCTTTGAGTATACATTACATCTACAATAGAATGAGATTAATATAACCTCCAAACAAAAATATAACCTAAAAAATCCTTAAACGATATTATTTCCATTATCATTATCTCACAGTCCAACTGTATCAAAAGGTCGTATCATCAATATTCAACGTGCACAAATATAATCACACATAATAAAAGTATTTCTTTATAAACTCCTCATCGTTACGAAAACGAAAACACGAAGTTGACGAGTGCAACGATGGTTTCACGAGAACCAACCATCTGAAACCTTGATGTCGATCACGTTCAGTTATTCAATAATCATTTGTTTCAATTCCTCGGCCTCTCGGAAGAACGAGCTCAATTCAACGACCTCTGCTCCAATTATTAGCCGTGTAATTCACTCGGTTTCGTGCCCCGCGCTCGGATATTTCGCATAATTGTGCAATCCCGACAAAACGCGACGAGGAGAACCTTGAGCCGTGGCGTGGTACATCCTCGGTGGAACACAACGAGTCATTGTGATCGTCGAAACGAGAGCGACCAAGTGGAGCCGCATAATGGCCGGCCTGTGTGTGTACATGTGTGTGTGCGCGCGCGCGTGTGTGTGTATGAACCGTCGACGACCGGTTCCCTCGTTATCCTGTTGAAGCTCCGTGAATCACTCGACGTGCGAGAAATGACGAATTAGCGGCGTCGATAGACGGAACGTTAGCCAACAAGATCGTTAGTCATTTTGTAAGCTTCTTTTGTACAGGATGTTCTCATGGTTCCTCGTTTAGAAGAATTTAAAAAAAAAGATGGATCTTTCTTAAAATCGAATTATTCTTGCAATATTATTGTAATTGTAATTCTTGATTTGCAATATTATTTTGTTTGTTCATTCTCTATCTTGTGTTTTGAAAAAATTCTAGATTTCTATTAAAGAAAATACGATTCTGTATTGCATCTCCTTTAATTTTCATTTCTCTAAATTTTGAAGATATATATGAAAATATTATCTGTTTTTCATAGAGTTCCTTAATGCAAAAAATGTAAAAATTTTCATTTATGATATGGTTTATATATCGAATGAAAATAGACCAACAATAGTCCCTTTTCTCGAAAATGGATATATGGATAAAATTCGATAGTGAAAAATCACAAATGATTTACAGTTTTAGAGCACTGATTTCGTAGTAAAATTTTACAAAGTGAAAGAAAAACAAACGAGAGAAAGAGAGAATAATGGAAAATGGATAAATAGATATTTGTAAAGGGCAAATTTTCGTGATAAATTCTCCACGAGGATAAATAAAAAGAAGTATCTAGTATCGATTCGCTCGTAATAAACAAACGGTCGCACGTGCATGCCAGACGTTCGATAAAAGCAACCAGAGTGAAACGACTGAATTTGATAGCAGGAATGAATTAATGTGAAATTCCAGTGTGGAAACCAGAGAGCCAGAATTGCGCGAGCTTAAAATTCGATAAAATGTAGGGAATAGTTGACAGAGAAAAAATGGAATTATTTATTTTTCCTTTAATTGATTTCGCTTTAAATTCCTTTTCCTCTCTTTCTTTCTTTTTTTTTTTATTTTTTTCTTTTTTGAAAGATTCGTCGGTTGAAACATTTTTTTTTCACGATTATTCGCTTTCTTGATCGATAATTGAACATCGAATTGGACGAAGCGCGTTCGAATAAATATTCAATTTCCTGGTTATCCGCTTTATAACTGTATTATTCATTTTCTTTCTTTTTCCTTCTTCTCTTTTCTTTCTTTCTTTTTCGTTGTTTCTTTTCTTTGTGGCTTTTAACCGAGTAGCGGCGACGACCCGAGACTACACACGTTCTTCGTAACACCGCTAAAGGGCGGCAGCAAAAGAAAGAACAAGTTTACCCCGCGAGGTATTTCTTGAAGGCGATGCATCGCGGAGAATTGTTTTTAACCTTATCTGAAAAGTTTTCAATTGACATTTTTTTAAATCGGTGCTTTAAATATACCCACTATTGAAAACATGAAAATTTTATATATCAAATAAGAAAACCTCCATTTTGATAAGATAAAATTTAACATTTATAGAAACTTTTTATTAAATATTGGAATTAGATATTGTAATTGTATCTATCAATCTATCGTCTGTTTCACATATTTTTCATATATTATTCAAACAAGAATTATTATTTATAAACAAAAAGGGATTATAAATATAACCACTCCTTTCTTCTTCTTCTTTTTTTCCCCTCTTTTTTATAATATCAAAAGCTTTCAAGCAAGGAAACAAAGAGGGCAGAAACAAATGAAAATTTCAACAGTCACAGCTCAAACGAAACGAGGCAACCGCTGGCCAGTTTGCGCGGAAGCGTCGAATCGGCAGGGCGAGCACGTGGCCCGTCCGTGTTTCCGGCCTCATTTTCCATGCGGCCCCGTGTCCGTCGTCCCGTAGTGGTTGTATACACGTCGTTAGCAGCCACTTGTCACAAATCCATTTCAATTTCACGCGGCGCAACGTGGCCTTCCCATTTTCTTTTTCCCAACCCTTCGCTTCCTCCCCGTGTGTTCCAACAACTCCCCACTCTCCTTTGTGTCATTTTTTCTGCTTCTTAAAGCGAGCGCTCCTCTCTGTCCCCCCTTCTTCTCTCTTTCTC